GATGACGAGCGTTTGGAGGAAAGGGTGAATCAACGACTCAAGACGGAGCCAGCTCTCAAGCTCCATGCGAGATCCAACTTGAGCACATACTTCGCAACCGCTCCACTAGAAGGAGCGATCCACATCCTTACCCAAACTCCCAGTCCTGGTGAGTAAGTTGTTTAAGCCCCTCAACAAGGTTGCACAGAATCCACTCGTCCACTCCTCTAACAAATCCTATGTACTTCACCTTTCAACTTCCTCCAAGTAGATAGTTCGTCTATATGACCTTATTGAATGGATTTGCTGACAACTATACCATGAATCATCCACATCACTGCTCAAATTGACAGATAAAGGTATGCCATTCTACCGTCGCCACCATTGGCGTTCACACGTAGCCCGTTAACATACCCCTCATGAATCTTTCTTTCGATATGTTATAACATTACCTCTAACTGGCATGTCACTTAAAGGGAAAAAAAGGAAGCGTGACGGACCCGAAGAGGTCGATAGCCTCAAGGAAGACGAGAAGGTGGGAACTTCTGTGGCACCGGTCAAAAGACGCCGTCTAGCACTGCTTCCAAAGTCTTCAACGATCTATAAGACAGAATCTGAGCCAGGAAATGTAAGTATTAGACCTGCCCTTGTGCCACATATCTCTAATCTTATCCCAAAAGTTAGATGCCCCTGCACTTCTTCCCACTCAGGGAGGGTTCCACGAGATAACCTCACTCTACAACCTCATTGCAGCCGACAAAACGCGGTATATCGAGCTCCTCGATCATACGCCCAAGTATTCGTACATGTTCCTTCGACCCCGACGTTGGGGCAAGTCAACCTTTCTTCAAACTCTCACCGATTACTACGATAAAACGAAGAAAGATTCCTTCAACGATATTTTTGGCGATCTTTATATCGGCAAGCATCCCACGGCGGACCGAAATCGTCTTCTTGTCCTTCGATTTGATTTCTCAGAAGTCTCTGGTGCCGACACAAATGAAGGCATAGAAAAATCGTTCAATCGCATGGTAAATTTTGAACTGTGAGAGTGCGTCGGCATCAATGCCATTGAACGCCTGCTGCTTCTTCAATTTGATCTCCTCTTTCAGCTCTGCAATCGTCTTGTTCGATTCGATTTCGACTGGGAAGGGAGAATATTCTCCCATTAAAATGCAGAAGAACTTATACTTC